AAATTACTATGTTAGCTGCAAGTTTTAATTAAAAATACTCTGATGTTGATACTATACTTGATACTCATATCGATACTGATTTTTAGACATTTATGCTGATTATAAAATTTCAAATTTAAACTTCTTCAATGCTACATTCGCCATATTGACTTTTAGAAAAACCTAACAAAATATTACTTGATTTTTATTTTTATTCAAGTAAAATATTATGAATGTACTAAATGATGCGTTCTATTGTTAAAATTTATTACAAAAATTTTAATACTTGAGAACCTTCAAATCTATCTCTGTTGCTGAAGCTATTCAATAAAACATCTTCCAGAATTCTAAAAATGTCCATATAAGCAAAATCTCAAATCTTCCGATTCTCAGCAAACCTGTAAACTTCAATTCAGAACAAGCTTAACAATTTTATCCCAAACCGAAAGTTCGACAAATCTTGTAAAATCGTTTTCGCATTCGATAATTTGGCGAGTAGCGCAGCGCGCAACTCCGAAAACGATGACGCACAAATGCATATTTCTGTCGCGGCACGTCGAAACAAGGCGTCGCGTCTACAGAATACACACAATCAGGTTTCGTCTTTGTTTAATCCGCAGACGATAACGATGGTCGATGAGATAGCATGGCGGCGTTCGAATAGTACGAGGATCTATAAACGTCGTGTAAAACGACGATTCGAAACGGGCACACACGAGCGGTGTGGCATAGAGGAAGGCATGCTTTACAGTCGCGATCGTTATCTAATAATGAGAAAGAACTTAAGACCGGGTAGCCGGGAGGCGTTCTTTTCCACCGATTTCGTGCCGGCGCATGAAACTGGTTCCACGGAGGCCCCGCATTTCCAAGTAGCACAATTGCAAACATTGATTCGAGCCAGAAACTAGATACGTCCGATTATTCCCGTGGCACACGGTCTATTATAGCTCGCGTGTAGATAACAACACGACAATGGGTGCAGTTTGCGTCGTATGCGGAAGGATCCGAGAAAAGATACGTGCGTCCTGTCGATTCGATGCGATATCGATTCACCGATCAATAGGTTCGGAAGACAGGCGATCGAAAGGCGATAACGTAGAAATCAGGTTCTTTCGGAACGTACGATCTCTCCTTCTCGTTAACCTACTTACTGTTATTCACGGCATTCATTCATCCGCTCGGCGCGTATGCGGACAGCGGCGCAATTGGGAACGATTTTGATTACGTTTGTTCGGGCAAATGGCGTTCGAAAGGCGTGCACTCACGGGACCGTGATCCTCGTTATCTACGCCCATCCTTGCTTGACCAGCGAGTTTGCCGCGAGGATCCGCGATCGAACGACCGTGAGACCGCGGCCGTGTAATCGTTTCCAGGAGAATCGATTCTCGCCAATTAACTTGGGCGAGGTTGAGACCGCTACGTAAATCACCGGAGGATACCGTGAAACTTCCGGGCGAGGGTTCGCCCGAATGCGAAACGTTCCGATACATCGAATCTCCGATTCGAGCGCGATCGGCAAGGATAGCTCTCGGCAGGAACGCGGGACGTGTTCCTAGGCCGATCTTGCCGAGCGCCGCGGGTGCCGTCGTCTTGTATTATCGATTGACGGAGGTTATGTGGAGTCGAGTCGCCGGGGCACGACGATCGCGTCGAATGGAATCCTATTCTAATCCTGTATAAGCAAGAGTATGAATACGATCTTTTGTTCCATTCGCGCTTCTTCCTTCCAGCCTTTTATTCTTCGTCATCCCCACCGCTCGCTCTGTCCTTCTTCCACCTATACGCGAATACAACAGCACTCCCTCCACCTGAATTCGCTATTTTTTCACCCTCCGAAATGACCCGTTCACATAGGAATAAAACGAGGATAGATGGGCTGGGTCAAAGCCGCGGTTAAGTAAACGGCACTCACCGTTGCTAGTCGAGGTCTGCGTTAGACCGTCTGAAGAGTAGTGGAAGGCTGATTGGCAATGGTACTCGTAGCGTCGAAAACGGCAGTATTGGCAGTGGCGGGACTGGTGGTGGCAGTCACGGCAGCATTGACGGTGGTGACGGCAGCGATAGTAACGGCAGCGGCGGTGACAGTGACGGCGAATGCTAGGGCAGCGGCTACGACGACGTCGACGACTAAGGGGACGTTGTACGCGGACGCGGCACTGACAGCGGCAGCAGCGTTAGCAACCAAATCACTTTCCTCCAAACGATCCGGGGACACCATCTCCTTGCTCGTCCGATCGCGTGCACCGACGACGATGCCGACGCCCGCACTGGCCACGACGCACTGTGGTCGCGCTACCACGAGTACCATCGTCGTTGTCTCATCGTCGTCGCCGTGTCTGCGCTGACACACCGGTGGGGAATCGAAACGGGCGGGACGACGGGTTCCGTTACAATCGGCTACGATTCAGTCCGCTACGAGACGAACGGTCGACTTCGAAGAAGGCGGTGGTCGTCCCCCGATCGACTGCACGACACACCGATGCTCGATGCCAGGAGACGCCCCAACGCGGGGCACCTAGTTCGACGTATGCCGAGCGACGGCTCACCCCGTGATCCGTCTGNNCCCGACTCGCGCAGTACCGTAACCACCGGGGGTGCTTGCCTACCCAGGATCCCCTACTTCCGTTCCCCTCCTTTGCCCGCTCCCCCGCAACCCATCGGCCACTTAGCCGCGAAATTTTCAACAATCCTTCCTTTCTATTCCACCCGCCACTCGTTCGTCACTCCGCACCGATTGCTCGTTTCTGACTTTCAATACCAGCGACGATATCCCTTTTCGAGTTTCTGCCTTCGAGGAGCGATTTAACGATATGCGACACGGATGGAGGGGGTGGTGGTTTCTAGGCGTTTGATGGCGGGCTAACGGGTGGCGAGGTAAGACTCCGAGGGTAGTGGGAGTAAACGTACGGAATTGTTTTAGTCGCGGGCACCAAGAGCCCTTTGGGGTGACCTGAAGCCGTCGGGCACTCAGCGGCAAAGCGGGGGGTTAAGGAAGCCCTTGAAATCAATAGCCAGTCGCTACTGCCGCCGCCACCCTGATCAGGCTGCTCTGCGCTGTATCCGTCGCTCCACTCTCTACCGTCCACCTCCCTCTTTCGCGATCCTGATTTATCTGCACGTTCCTAGTCGTCGAGGTCCTGTCCGACCTTAGTTCGCAGTCGAACGTCCCACAACACGAGTGTCGTTTGACGGGGTTGATCAAAGGGAGCCACGTGTCGAGTGACGAGAGCGAATCTGAATGTTCCTTTAGCCGCCTCGGTTAGACGGATCTTGGCACCTTTCCTAGGGAGACCTAGGGGAAATTTTATTCCCGTCGAGGTGTTTCCGCGAACGCGATATGCATATCGCAGCTTTTCTTTTAATCTTTATCGTTTTATGTACCGGCTCGGATATCTTTTCAGTCGACGCGAATAAATTTCGAGCCCTCGTATCTTTATGATTTTTCGTCAGGCTACGAAAACCGCTTGAGTACGGATGAAACGTCATGGAAACAGGGTTTTTGGAATGATCGTACCCTCCGTTACTCCCTTTTGCCATTTCCTTCCCTCGTTCGACGAAGGGAGAAAGTACCGCGAGTGCATGTGCACGAGAGAAGGTAGTCTGATTATAAGTTGACCTACTCCACTTTGGTTCGCGTATCTATTTTTCGGGAATGAAGGGGGTTTTACATTCATCTATAAAATTATCTCGAGTATCTGATCGATTTCCAACTATATTTACGCCGGTCTAACGTTATGCGATATCGAGTGACCTTCGTTGTAATTGATTGGCGATATTTAAAGAACAACCATCGTTTCTCGAACGTTGTTTAGCATAATTTTTATTTCGTGTAGCTTTACAGTAAATTCGCTATTTTAACCCTGAGGAATTTTACAGATTCGTCACGGAAGATTATTTGCAAACTGCGTCTTGAAGACGCATTTGAATGCCACATTCCTACATTATTTTTACAAACCGGTTAAACCACTGTTTCTGACTACTTATTTTAATCAAGACACAAATTTAAGACACAATATGTTTTATCAAGACATCGTATGTTTTATTATTAAACTTTCTTGCCCTCAATTCATTTTAAGAACGCAAAATATTAGTTGTAATAGACTTAACTAAGAATACAAATGACCAAGTTAACACAAAGTATCGGCACGTGTTCGTGAAAGAGAACAGTTCGAGTTACAAGGGATTATGCATTCGTTTAATAGCCGTCCAATGATTAACCCTCAGTCGAGCAAAGTTGAATAGCCCGAAATTTATAAAACGAAAATAAATTTTAATTAACCGTATTTTTAAATGAAATTTATTTTCGGTCAAACTAAATTGAAATTCGAACTGTTGTACGCGAAATTTATCTGAGGATTATGTACACTGGGGACTTTTTTAGAAAAATGGCGATTTAAGAGAAAATGTTTCTTGTCTCACTTAAATATATTTTACCAATTTACAGAATAAATTATTCACATTTTATCGGTTATGGATAAGAAAGATTATCAAGTTTTGAGTGAACAGTAATTTAGATTATTTTATTTACAGAAATAAAATGTTGCAAAATAAAGAATTACGCATAAATTAATTTATAGTCCTTCATATAGTTGTACTTTATTTTTAATCTAAAAATAACTGCTAATCTAATATTTAACATTGTAAACTTAATGCTAATTTTCTACAGAAAAATCCAGTAAAATAAACTTACCTTATAGTTCGCGCGGATCTGAAAAGTTAGATAACGTCATCTAGCGGAAAATGCATGGAACTAAAACTCGTGGTAGCTAGAGAGCATGAAAGTAGAGGAGGTATTCGGCAAAATCGTGCGACAAGGACAGACCATAGACAAATATGTCTGTCCTCGTCGCACAATTTTGTCTGCCACCTCCTCTACTTTCATGTTCTCTAGCTACCAGGAGTTTTAGTTCCTCGCATTAACCGCTAGATTGCAGTAATAAATTTTTTTATTTATTCTTGAAAATTGTACAAATGTTACATCCACTTCACTATTGGAATGTTACAAAATAAAACAAGATGAATAATTTTTAAATGATTTACTTGGTCAAAAACAGAGATACAAATTAATTTCACTACAGAGAGATTTTCCAGTCGTGGAAGATATATGTTAAATTAATTTAACGGAAGAAACGCCTTAGAATGTTCTTTAATACCATAATTTATAAAAGAACAGAAATGAAGGTAAATATTTGAATTCTTTTAGAGTTCGGAATACTCGTTTGGATTATTTTTGAGTTAGACGATAATTCGACAGCGATCCCACTTAATAATATTAAGTCTATATTGTTACATTTTTCTTCACAACAGTGATATTAAATACAATAACGTCGAGACACTCCACAATGGGTCAAGAATTCAAGCGACAATGGAGCGGAACGTATGCAAAAGTCTTTCCTCGGACGAAATAATTTTGTGCTGATCACAAACTTTTTTATTAACAGAACTGTAAGTTCTTTCGCTTAGGAAGTTGCATCAGTGATGGGCAATTGTGCCCACTATTTATTCTAAATTTTCAAATATTTCTAAATTTAGAATATTTCTAAATTTTCAAATTTTTATATTTTCAGATTTCCGAATTTCTAAATTCCATAAAGCCCTCATTGTACGCACCATGCACCGATGCCCACGAGCTCTTCAAGGGCACTGCTGCCCATCACTATGATTGATACATTACCATAGAATTCTCAAACCATTTTGTAACCACACTGGAAAGCAACATTACTGCACCTTAGGCATATAATTGAACAATTATTCGTTATTTATGTTAAAAACGCGCGATAGAAAGAAATGATTGCGCTTTTTATTCGGTCAAGATATGTAAAACGATGAAATGTCCTGATAATTTTAATCAAGAATAAAAGAAATCGTTATGTAAGTTTCGCGTTGCCCATATCGCCATCATTCTACAAGTTACTGATAACTGGTTTTCTTCAAATACTTATGAATATTTATGAAATTAATTTTTCACGTGAATTGGAAGTATTTTGATCAGAAACTCGGAGAATGACGGATGTACATTACAAAATATGATTATTCAGATATTAACGTGTATATGAGTATGCATGATATAGAAACAATATTATATAATTTGTAAACGTGAAACGTTTACATCTTTACACTCGATAGTTCAATAATAGTTCACACCTTTATGCTACAATAATTCATTCTTTATTATCTGAAGGCGTTAGGGGTATATAGAATGAAGAAGTATTAGAATAATGAAACGTCAGTGAAACACGATTAAGTTACATTTTTTGTCTCTACTTCTAAATCACAGGAATGAATGTGTACATATGTATGTGCGTGTATGTATAGTATACATACATACGTACACGTGTAATAACTGTGACGTGCTGAATATTAATCATGAAGTGACAATCTACACTGTAGATTCTACGAACTGCTTATCAATATGCCTATATGTATATATAAATTTGTATAGCTTCGTTACAAGAAAAATTTCAAACCCCACGTTCGAGTTATACCATGCACCCACTTCTAAATAATCGAATTACCAATGACCGACAGAAAGGTACAAAATACAAAACCTTCGCCATGTGACATCCGAGATATCTTTATTTCGAATTTTTATAAGACAAACATAAAGAAATAAAAATACACTGAAGCATCAAAAACATTAATGCATTAACTCCTTAAGTGATATACCATTACTGATGGATAAAGCCAGCGTATCCAATTTCTGAGTCATAGACCACTACCAAATCAGCCAGCCCCCCTTCCCCTCCTGACTATTATGTTAGACATTAATATATTATTTTAAAATGGATACATTATGTACAATCTTACATCTTGTGATTGTTAAGTACCGTTAAGAACGTTTAAAAAAAAAAGGAAAAAAAAACAGATTCGAATGTTTCATACGAGTATCCAACAATTCTCAAGACAACTGAGATTACTTTCTTTTTTGATCGAGTATGTTCCTTTAAAAGAATTGTATTTTAATAGAACTTTGTATACTATACATAATTTACTTCGTGACAACATGGTTTCAATGATACAATTGTAAGCGAATATGTAAAGCGAAAATCCTTTCATAAGAAATACATAGAAACAGAAGCTATTTATAAACGTGAGTATATAATATTTCATGTTTTATTTATAATTTCCTATTTAAACTAACAGTATTTTTCGGATACGCGATAACAACGAAATATGTCGTAATGTGTTGCGCCTATACTCCAACAATCACCACGTCCGAGCAAAGCGCTTTATTTCTTAAAAGAGGATTTCGATTCCGGTCGCTTTACCAAAATATAAGTACACTCCTGCAGCTGATAACTCCTATTATTGTAAACCACTACCCGTTCATGTTTATAATATTTATTATGAACAACCGTGTAATACAATGACTGGTTTCGATCTTTACGATCAGTACGTGGTATATGGTAGCAGGGGCAGGCTAAGGAACACAGGGGAAGAAGGGATGTGCCAAGTTATGCGATAAAGTAATGGCTGCTCAGATCATTTTTCCCAGCACATATCCTATTATGGCCATGACAATAGCAATAAGAACGCTGAGAGGAATTGATGGCAATTGGCTACTGCTTTGTGAGGGCACAAAGGGGCTCATAGCTCTACCTGCTATTAAAGTACCGTCGTTACCCAATGTCGCGTTTTGTAATTTCAATAAATCCTCCTACAAATAATAATTAATACTCTATTTACCTATTTCTTTGCAAATTTCCCTTTTTCAAATGAAAAATAGTTTGCTGTATCATGTTATATATTTTGTAATCAGTTAATATACAAACTCCATAACTACTTACCTTCAACTGAAGATTTTCCTGCCTAAGAGTGCTCTCTTCTACCCTAAGCAAATTAACTTCCTGTGCAGCTTTTATTAATTTCTCTTCTGTTTCTCCCAAAATCTAACAAAACAAATGCATTATTTATTTATGTTCTGACAAGTCATTTTAACAACAGCATAATAGACACAATGTTAATTGTTACCTTTGGCGATAACTTAACAGAATCACCAACTCCCTTGTTTTTACCATTAGTTGAAGTTACTTCTGTTTTATTCATTGTTGCGGTAGTTGTTGAAGTAGTTTTAGCAGTTGTTGTATTAGTTACAGGATTTTCAAATACACATTTTAATTTAGATTCCATTAATAAATCTGGGTGTGTATCTTTCCACTTTAAAAAGAAACTTGTAAGTAAAATTTTGTGCAAGATTAAGTATAAAATAAGGATTCAAATATTTGTAAGCAATAATAAATGAACAAATCTTTATGTTACATACCACATCGGAAAAGTCTTCATCGTCATCATCTTTTGGAGCTATTAAAGCTTGTACCATAAATTTATGTTTATTCTTTTCTGCTGGATCAAAATCAAATGGTTGAAGAGTCACTGAAAATGCAAATAATTTAAATGTTTCAAGAATTCTGTACTGATAATTTTTACAAATTAATCAAAAACCATAGAAACACTGTACACCTTTTCCATTTAAAACTAACCAGCTATTTGAGTGACTCCCTTTGGTTTAACCGCACCACAATTAGGACGTACACAATACCTTTTTGGAGCAGTTGTCTTTATTTTAAAATAAACTTTGTGATTCGATGGATTAGTTAATCTTATGTAAGATGTGACTGATGATCCTGTGAATGGGCCTGTAATATAACATAAAAGTTAAATAACATTTAAGAAAATTGCTTTTCAATACATCTGTTCTATTTAAAAATCTTATAAAAAGGGGAGATTCAAATCCTATAATAAATTTTATATGTATATATACTTATATCACAATTCTTTTGCATATTAAAGAGGGTATTAAATAAAACAATACAATCAGATGAATAATAAACACTAACATTAACAAATCATTAAAAGCAATGACTCTTAAGAATTGGCACAGATGAAAAAGGATGCAACAAACATTAAATACTTTGTTCACAAATTGTGAATCTTTAAGTTATTTAAACTATACATTTTGTATTGATTCTGTTAATTATATTCCAAATTAAACTTTATCTTGATAAGAATCCAAAATAGGTCAAAATTATACAATGTTGGATGGGTATTTGTGCTGTTATTTTGTCAGTTTACCAATTTTTAAGGTTTCTTGATCAGTTTGATATCAGATAAGTTAATTGAAGGAATCCTTAGTTCATGAAAAATATAATTTTACATCAACAATTAAAACAAATCCCTTTCCTTTGTTCTTGACACAATGAAATGATGTTGGTCATTTGTTGACAACATTTGTCAATGCTTTGTTTGCATTTTCAAATCTTATTTAAAAATTTGCCACCATGTAAATAACAAAGTGTGATTATTCTTGATGAACAAGAAATAGGTAAAATAACTACTCCTCTTATCATTTAACAAAAAACAAATAGTATATTACAAGTGCTCCATACTTTCTAATTGGAGTACAAAACGTTTGCAATAAACGCAAACACGTACGTTATACGACATTAAACGGCAACCGAAACGTGACATTTAATACAAACATAATTTAAAGAAAAAAAATGTATGCTTTATTGAAAAAAATTTGAGGACATGAGAATAAATCCGATACATATAAAAGAAATAAACATATGCGCTCCAACTCGATGAATATGCTGACTGTATATCGGCTAATGGGAAAGGGAGACGAGAGGGGGAGACTGAGAATTCAATCGTGACTCTACTTAGCTTTGACAGCGAATGACGTACAACGAATAGGGTTAGGTATGAACAAGAAGGCTGATGATTTCTGCTAGTTCGTCGTGCATAATCTTGTTTAGTCAGAAATGTAAACGTAACGAAATTAACCAGCGAAATCAACCTTACGTCATCTTGACAACGTAGCGCACCGTGTGCAGCTCATGATAATGAACGAACAATGCGCTTGCCAGTCACGATTTAGACGAAATTCAAACAGAACAAAGGATAAGGGAAAACGTGCGAAGGAAATGCATATCAAAGAATGATTCGTCGTTTAAGCGTACCCCTGAACCGCAGTTCGCTCTGCGGTTCGATAATTAAAACTTGCTCTGGCTTCACCATCCTGCTTGACCGTCGACCAAATTCTGGGGACGATTAGTCGCAACACTTTTTCGAACGCGTGAATAATTCGTACGGGACTACGTCTCGACAGCTTAATCGACGCTGCTTGCGATTTTATACAACGGCACCGCCGTGTCTCACTACTTTCCGGGATTCCGTTGGACTAATTCTGATTTTTGCTTCGAATCAAATACGCATGCGTCACGACGGAAATTATCAGGATACGACCGTTACGTCACGAAGAGACGTTACCGCGGTAATCATATTCGCTACTTCTGCACATCCCGAAACTCGGAATACCGGTAAAAACATTCACAGCGCAAGCAAAATGAAAACGAAGTGATCGTCGATAGAAACTACTTCACAATTACCAATGTTACTGACTTCGTTTAACTAAATGTCAATAAAAATGTTTATCCTACCCCGACAGAATAAAATTGCAACTGTTATTATGACCTATACATTATAAAACGCTTATGTATGAATTACATTGCTGAAATTTCCTACTGGACAATTTACTTTCAATTTTGTATCCTATAATAAATCAACTCGAAAGTATTGAAATCATGCTTGCTTTTTCTATTTATCATTTTGTACGTGATTTGATACGTATTTAAAAATTTGGTTTTATTAGTTACGAATTTTGTTTTTCATTGGTGATCTGCGTTACAGTCTAACAACAGAATATGCTACACCACTTTGCACATCTTGGTGTGATCAACTTGTTTCGGTTTATTCGCGGTGCTTTATGCTCTATATATTTGCATATATTATATATACACATTCTCGCCGGTTGGCGCATGGTTGATTTTAAATTTTTGTTTCAAAGTCGTGCTTGAAATAACCAAAAACAAAATAAAAATGAGTACTTTATTAAATCCAAATTTGAATGCTGATGTTTATAGAAATATGACAGCAGCCGACAGACCACCTGTTCCTGATAAGCACCTACAATTTATTTTGATTTATAATGGTAACATTTTACAGGTTAAATCATTTATATGTTTTTTTTTTATATATAAATAAAAATTTCGATTCTACGTAAAACATTTCATACTTTATATATGCATATTAACAATTAGAATACATAAATATTTGTATGTTTATTTATTTTCAGAAAAAATCGCTATTCTTGGTGGTAGTAATATGACAGATCGTTATTGGAGTGGTACTGTTTGGTACTATAACGACATTTCAAATTTCGATAGAGATAAAGCTTTTGTTGCTACTAAAACAGAAAGTGGTGTTTGCGATGCTGTATGTATAGACCATGACAAATTTGTAGTTACAGAAGATAGTGGAGTTTTACAAATTTTGAATTTCTGTCAAGCACCTGGTTCACCTTTATATGAATTACAATGCGCAGGATATGCTTGTCTACATGATAGTAGTATTTTAACAGTTTCCACATTTTCTGATGAGGATCATGTTGTTACAGGTGGATTGGATTGCTGGTAAGGTGCTTATAAGGATTTCAGTAGCTAATATATATTCGAGAGATCTAAAAAAGGTTTTTATTCATATTGTAGTTTGAAAGTATGGGATTTAGTTGAATTAATAGTAACATATTCGTTTGGCTATGCACAAACTGATGTAATCACTTGTGTTCATGTACAACCCCAAAGTACTACAACATTTGCATCTACATCATTAGATGGCGAAGCATTAATGTGGGACATACGACAGTCAAAACCTGCACACAGTATGTACTGAAATGTAACATACATATAAAATATTATCAGTTTAACTAATTAGTTTGTAATTTTAGTTTGGTGTTATTTTAACACATTATTTTTATAAAATATTTTAAGTATTCTAACAAATATAAAAAGTCAATGTTTGTTTGTCAATTGATTTTTTTTAATTTTTTTTGCAGGTATATTGAAAAAAAATGCTGGTTTAACTGCAGTAAATTGGAAATCCACTTCAGATCATGTGTTAGCACTAGGTACAGATGAAGGAGCAATTATGTTAGTTGATACTAGAAATTCAGGTCCTTCATCAGTATTAGAGGAAACGTGTGTATTCCCTAGATCGATACATAGACTTTTGTTTAATCCAAATCCAGAGAGGTAATACAGATCAAGAAATTATGTATTTAAATTTTTTGAAATATAGTACCAATGTTATTGTATGTTATTCTTCTAGGTCTGACGAATTAGCAGGTTGTTGTGATGGTACTATGGTGCAAGTACTTGATACAAACAACAAGTTTTCATCAATATATAAAGATGATTTGCGCCATAAAGACTTTGTTCGCGGTTTAACGTGGTTTAACGACGAATTACATACTTGTTCTTGGGATAATACAGTGTTCAAACATACAATACATCCAGTTAAAAATGAGTAATGTTTGTTAATATATTTATAATTTGAACTCATTTATTTGTAAGCTAATATTAAATATCATTTCTATACATAAAAATAGATCCTTTATATTGTATTTAGTTGTATTTTCTTTCTATATAATCAGTACTTCTCTATCATTTTTATTTTAATATTTTTGTCACAATAAAATAAGAAAAAACATGCACACCAGTTTGTTTGTAAAATATAACTACATAAATTATTCAGAGGTACTTAAACAGTGGCAGTCAAATAAAATGGTACTGTACTTAAAAAAAGAGGCAACAAAAATAATTGTGTACTAGACAAAATTCCTATTTTTAAAAAGCAAAAATAATAATGTAAATAAAAAAGTTTCATGATTTATTTGCAATTCACATTATCTGATATACCTTACCATGAAATAGTTATAAATCAGTCAAATTGCTAAATTATGTAAATGATGACATGTAGTAGTCTCATTTTCCAAATTTAGATATACCCATTCTCTTACAGTAAGTTCATTTGTATTTATTTAATATAAGTGTACATGAACACAACGTCCTACAGAACATTGAATATAATTCTTCATTAAATACTTCGATACTATAAAGTGAAATGTATAGCATAATTATCCAAATTACAAGGGATTTCCATCATACATATATAAAGACAAAATTTTAATAGATTTCAAATTTTTAGGAAATGATATTAATAAATAACCCAAAGCTACATTTTTTATATGATCCTACAGTATGTTCATTTATGCTAGTAATATATTCATCATAGTTATTAAATATGTTTCAAATCATAAGTCTAATGTTTCTGCACCAGTAAATCTATAAATTCTTAATTACAATGTGTATAATTCTAACAGAGTAAATGTTTAATGATATGCTGTTTACATAAATGATTGAACTGATGAGAATTGAAAAGGTGTATCACATATTATTTAACTTGATTATAAACATTGATTTACGATCGGTCTTTTTTCTTAACATATTGAATTCTGACATGTTTCCATCTACATATTACACGTTCTTAAGTTATATATATTACATATCGATTATATCGATTTTCTTAGATAGAAACATTGTTAAATTGTATTATTCTTAGAGGCATTAATTTTTCTCTTTTTTTTCAAATGTAGGGTATCTTGTATCAAATTTAACTTCTTGTTTTTACTTTATTATTCTCTACATTACCCATTAACGAAGAAAGTAAAGAATATAGTATAAATATTTTATGAATAGACTGATTATTTAAATCCAGATATTGATTATATATTTTCATTAATTAAAAACATGGAAGAAGTAAGAAAAAGCTAATTTTAATTTGATCGATATTTATTTTATAAACTGCTATTTCTGATCGAAGTAAAAATGTATCGCAGATTGGAGCGATATCAGTATCAATAAACAAATAGACAAATGCAAGTTGAACATTGAAAAAAATATATATATCATAAAAGTTTTTGTATATACATTTTGTATAATTTTGTTTAGCATTCAGATTGTTTATGCAATGATTTACTGATGCTACCTTTAACCAAAATATAGTATCTTTTCTTAATATAAGTTCTCGCATACTTACAATAAGTATGCTCGACAAAATGTACAATTATGGAGTTTATATAACTCTCAGATGAAATTTAATACGACATAAATGTGTAAAAAAAATTGATGGTTTTCAATAAAAATGCAAAAAGTAAACGAATAAAAATAAATTGCACGTATACATCACGTAAAATTTGAAATAGGTATATACGGTACTTTCCATCGTTAACAAAATTGTACATTGTAATACAAATACATGATTGATGACAATATATTATGCAACATATTATGCCACTGTTTCGTTCAAAAATTACAAGAATCAATGAAATTGATATATACAATTCATATTTCTATATAATGAAGTATAATTGCATCATAATCAATGCAACATATATAATTCTCATATGGACATTTATTATTTTTCGTTAATCTATGTAATAGGTTCTTACATAATTATTATGCAGCTGCAATTGTTATGCATAACATGATGTCTTTTTCCCTGTATCAATCACTTTTTTTTAACCAGTCCTTGAGCATTTCATCCTTTATAATCCAAATTCCTTTTCATCATCCGTGCGAATATCACCATATCTCCAAATATTACGTCGACTGTGTTTCGCATCTTCTTCCGCTTTTCTGTATTCTTCGATCTATAAATTGTTACATAAAAATATTTCATACACATAGTGAAAGGGTTCAATATAGTACGTATATAAAAATCTAGAAATGTAGGTAGGAATCTAGGAATATATGTTTTGATATAACATATACTACTCTCGTTTTTATAATATAAATATAAATAATAAAGTAAAATAAAAACTAACCAATTTCGTAAGCCTCCTATCACGTTGATTCTGAACAAGCAGTAATCCGTCAGAAATAAGACCCTTAGCAATATCATCATTGGTAGACGAATCAACCAAAGTTACCGCAGTAACGCTACTGCTCAGTTTATATTCCGTGTTCAATAATAAAATTTTATCCATTACATCTTCCTTGAAAGACTCAACTGCTAACTTTTTATCATCATTCTGAAAAACATTTATTAATAAAACATAATATAGATAATATCTATATTAATACTATGCACTAATACTTACATCACTTGGAAGTGTAACGCAAGCGAGAACATGCTCATGAGCGTAAGGTTTATCAGTAGCAAATCTTGATGGTAAATCAGCAACTCTCGTGACATTGATCGTTTCTCTATTACCATAGTCGATATAAAAAACACTGACATTTGTACCGGAAACTTTTTCTACCTTAACGCGATACCACTGATCATCGCCGGTAAATTTGGCAACTGATAAATCACCTCTAGCAGGTTTGTAAGCACCCGGAAGTGGAGGATTAGAGGCCAACTCCTGACGTAATTGTAAAAGTAAATTTTCCAACATACTACGCTGATCGACACTTTGCGCATAAAAGTGAAGATCGTCTGTGACCTCGGCAATGACTACTTCTTGATAGTCAATTTTCCTTTCCGCTATTTCTTTCTCGTTTTCATTTTTTTCATTTTCGACCTGTACTTCTACATAATTCTTCCACATCTATAATACAGGATGCATTTTAATTAGTATTTGGAAATTTCGACATTCTAAATAATGTTTCTGTTAAACTACTCACATTTAGTTTCTTCGTTTTGGCACGTTCTTCCGCAGCTTTAAGCGTTCTCGTTAATTCCCCAAAATCAGGGAAAGTAACTACTTCTGCAAGTCCTTCCTCAACAAGAGCAACAGACATGTTGATATCATTCACTGTTAGCCATCCAATGAATCCGCTTCCTTTTGTTTCCGTACTTTCAATTTTAATTTCCACGTCTCTTTGGAAGCAATGTTCTCTAGTGAAAGCTAACGCTTTCTCGCCATATTCATCAGCTTTAACGATACCACCACTAGGTAATGATCTTTGACATCGAGGAGTTCTTATACCAGCCAATACAAACGTGATGAGCTGATCTTCCTTAGGTAAAAACAGTTTCAAACGTGAACCACTCGTGACAAATTCAACAACAGCTTTAATGCCCTGTGCTCGTTTAAGCGACGTTAAAAATGCCTTCGCTTTTGGAGGATCGTTAGAAAGATCTACTAGTCTGTGTACAGGAATATCTTTTTTTGCATGCAAACCATGTTGTGATTTTTCTGCTTTACTTTCCGCAACTTGCAATAAATTGTAATGAGACGATCGTTGGTCATCATTCTGTCTATATTTAATCACTCTTGCTAAACCTCGTGCAACCAATGCTTCCGCAATGTTCCTGAAAAATATCATTAATAAAATATCATTAAGTATTAAGATTAATTTGTAATACATTGATATATAACACCTACGTTTTTCCACAAGTAACAGTGCAACATAATTTCTCTGGAAAATTGTCTCTAGCAGGTTGAGTATAGTCAACAACAACCTTTACATTTTTCCTGATGAATTTTTCACGCAAAAATTCACGAGCCTCTAACATCCAGGGGATGTCATAAAGAGGTTTAAAATCTTTTCTATTAGCATTATTAATTTCGTCATTAGCTTTCTTTTCTCTGGACGGTGGTCGAATACTGCTCAAAAAGACTTTCTTGTTTTCTCCATTTTGAGTTCTTATTATAAGCGCATCTGCGTTAACAATTTCAACAACGGTTCCGGTAAACTCTATTTGTGGACCAGATGGTTTATAATCTTTCCATAAACGTAAACGTGCTTCTTTTGCTGCCTTTTCCGCAAGATACAGCTTTTCTGCACCAGCTCTACTATTATTAATTGACCAATCTTGGCATTTAGCAAAACCTTCACTCAATAAAATTTCTGCAATATTTCCTGTAAAAAACAAAGAACTTTATAAGTACTTATTCAGATAATTATGGAAGGTTTATTGAGTATACTTTAAAGTGTACTAACCCTTTGGATGCAGAATGCTGCCAATGAAATTATTATTGTTAACAGATTCAAGCACTATTTCAACATCTCTGTGCAGAAGGCGAGATTCTACAAAATATCTTGCTTCATCTGCATAAGGATCACCTACAGAATTCTCACGCCTTCCATTTGGCCATCCCGGACATCGAACACCAGATATCATCAATACTATATTGTAGAAGTCAGGTAATAAAAGTGCTTTTACTGTAGATCCATCAAAAACATATTCAATAATGGCTTTTACTGGCTTCTTTCCAAATTTCTCAACCAATTTTCTAGGATCATCCACAGTCCATTTTACATCACGTACGTGTTCAGACAGTGGTGATTCGGACCACTTTCCTTTCTTAGCTGTCTTAGCTGCATTTTCTAATTCAATTAATCGTGTCTGTTCAGGACTGGGATTTCTAGTATCTTTTTTTACAATTACCAAACCCTCAGATACTAATGTTTCAATTATATTTTCCCCATTTCTGTCTATAATTAACAAGAAATTTAATAAATCAGTTCATGATAAATTATAATACATAGTCAATATCTAAGGAATCAATTTTTATATAAGGGTATACCTTTTCCTAGCCACACGGTACCATAAGTTCTATTTGTATTAACGGATTTTTCCGTTACAAAAGCTACATCTTGACCAATGAGCTTTTTACGTAAAAATTCTCTGGCTTCCCAAGCATACGGCTCATCTTTGCTTTCGTCCGTACTAAAATAAATTGCACTTATGCTTATTATGCAATGTAAAAAACTAATTTGTAAACGAATATGAAGTAACTATATGTATATACCTATCATTGCCTTTCCACCGTTCTAATTTAGGAGCAGTTATGTTACAAAGTGTAATAGTAACTTCTGGAGGAGGACCACCCATGGGTTGACCACGAATAATGATGGTATCCCCGGAAAGAACCTAAAAATACAAAATTTTACATTGAAATAAAGTTGCCTAGTTAACTCTGAATTCCTAACTCAATGTTATATGTGATATGAATATACTTTTCATAGAAGTTCAGAAAGATAAAATTAGGCTTTGTTTGGAATTAATAACATAGTGTTTTAGATAAAAAACACGTTAAATAAATAAAGATAAATATCTAATTAGCCACGCTTTAGTAAATATTACAAACATTCGTATAGCAATTAAGATATTTCTATCAAATAATGCATGAAATGGAATTACTTTGATCCAAAGACCATATGTTTTCGGTACCGATTATTCCCTGCGACTGTGTTGAATGTGATCGCACACATGTCAAAATATAAGGTTATACATGACAGTAATCATACAAATTACCTTAACATTTAGATGAACAATTATTTAAGGAACAGATTTTCATAAAATTTTGGAATCTTACTTGTTTTACTATTCCGTTTCTTGATTTCACTTGCGCCTGGGGTGCGCTCATCGTGTCGTTCCTTCAGGACTTAAACTCCGTTAAATACCGAAAAAATTTCTATAATTTCTGAATTTCTATTATGCCCGGATAGTTCTTCAATGAATGAAGATTATCGATACGTAGATTTTTACTTTTATAAGATATATTCGTCAGAAATTCAAGAAAAATTTGACATGTTGAATCGGAGTAGAGAAACTCACGCTTTCCACGTATTGTGGAAGAGTCGGCACGAGCGCAATCTACACAGAAACATCGTCCAAATACGTTTGATTTGGTGGTGATGTGGCAACACGCAACACTTCGACAATCAGCAGTGTCGCTCTCTATCGGTCAACCTATATTGATAGTTTGATCGGTAGAAAAAATAAATGGCATTGTAATCTTATAAAACGTGTAATGATTTAATCGTCCATCTTCACGCAGTCGCATCATATTTCAACAAATTCGTTATATTTTAAATTTTATACAGATAATTATTAATATATGTATACCTGACTATAGAATATGTGCACCTAATTATGAAATTTATTTATTGCTATATCCAATTATAAATAGTCGATAAATCTATGTGATAATAAATATTCGTTTATTACAAAAATAAATATTCATTTTTTATGCATTAATACTTTAATTATAATCGTTCTAAGTTATGATATAATTAATAATAGAATCAGCTGCACAATGGTTCTATTTCAAGAGGACACATTTACTAAACTTGTACTTTACATCAAAGAAAGATAAAAATTGATTTATAGAATAGAATAAAATCAAATACTAATTTTAATTAAAGATTTGTAATAATAAAGTATATTGTAAAAATAAATATCGCTTTGCTTGATACAGTTAAACTATATGCATACATAATTAACATAATTTTGTATTGATTTGTTGAAATATATTTTTAGTAAATGTCACAAAACATTCCCCATTATAGTTTTATAAATTCTACTACATGTAAAAAATCAATTACTTGAATTCATATAGTATATTAGAAATAATAATGTACATATAAAATTTGTCTAAATTTCTATAAAATTATTTTGATTCAAAAAGGACTAATGATTAATGAAATATTCGTCTAACATAATTACAATTTTTTGACATTTAACAAATTTGACTAATTACTCAAATATTTGTTACTTCATAATTCAAAGCAGATTATTAAAGAAATACAATCGTAATTTAAATATTTTAAGGTCATTTTATTGCGCACAGAACTGTTTACAACGATTTCAATGTAATTTGGCTACATGACAATTTCACAATGGAATGATGAAAGTGTGAAATGAAAATATACAAAAAAATCAGGATGGAATTGCAGTCATGTGAAAATCGTATATTATAAAAAAAGAATTTAAGGACAGAATCAAGTGACAGGCTCAATTTCTGGTGCAACGTTCGTGGAATGCACAGAATTCTTATTGTTTTATTTCATATTTATCAAATAAATATGTATAATAATTATCTTGTATACTATGTAATACTGAAAGCATGGCACTCCATTCTGTCGCGTACAGAAAGACAAAACGAAGAAAAATTCAATACTTAAAATAGAATTAATGTGTAACAGTCTTTCTACATCCTAGAAGTCTTTGGATTTAGTTAAATAGTCTTAAATAATGAAAGATCTTAATCTACTTCCTCCATTCTGGATGCTTCTTCTGTATCACCTTCTAGTGGAGGAACTTCAGCATCCATTTTTTCATCTTCTGCAGGTGGCGTATCTTCATCATCAAAACCAAGTCCAAGTTTGATCATCCTGTATATTCTGGAAGCATGTACTTGTGGGTCTTCAAGAGCAAAACCAGAAGATAGGAGTGCTGTTTCAAAAAGCAGCATAACTAGATCTTTCACAGATTTGTCATGTTTGTCTGCTTCAGCCTTTTGCCTCAAGTTCTCCATAATTGGATGGTCTGGATTAATTTCTAAATGTTTCTTGGCAGCCATGTATCCCATAGTTGATGTGTCTCTAAGGGCTTGTGCTTTCATGATCCTCTCCATGTTTGCGGTCCATCCATATTGTGATGTGACTATACAGCAGGGAGAGTCGACTAACCTGTTAGATACAACAACTTTTTCTACTTTCTTGTCCAAAATGTCCTTCATAACTTTGCACAGATTCTCAAATTTGGCTTTATCTGCTTCACGTTTCTTCTTCTCTTCTTCATCTTCGGGAAGTTCTAAACCTTCTTTCGTTACAGATACCAGCTGTTTACCGTCGAATTCTTTCAATTGCTGTACAACATATTCATCAATAGGTTCTGTCATATATACAACTTCAAAACCGCGCTTCTTCACCCTTTCTACAAATGAACTATTTGCTACTTGTTCCCTGCTTTCACCAGTGATGTAGTAAATGTGTTTCTGATTTTCCTTCATTCTACCAACATAGTCTTTCAGTGAACACATTTCATCTCCAGAGGCAGATGTGTGATACCTAAGCAGTTCTGAGAGCTTCTTCCTATTCTGGCTATCTTCATGAATACCTAATTTCAAGTTCTTGCTGAACTGTTCATAGCATTTCTTGTAGTTTTCTTTATCTTCAGACAATTCTTCAAAGAGTTCCAAACATTTTTTCACAAGGTTCTTTCTGATAACTTTAAGAATCTTGTTTTGTTGTAACATTTCACGGGAAATGTTCAATGGAAGATCTTCACTATCTACAACACCTCTAATGAAATTAAGATATTCTGGAATAAGGTCTTCACAGTTGTCCATAATGAAGACTCTGCGAACATATAATTTGATGTTATTTTTCCTCTTCTTATTTTCAAAGAGATCGAAAGGCGCGCGTCGTGGGATGAAAAGTAATGCCCGGAATTCCAGTTGACCTTCTACAGAGAAATGTTTGACAGCCAGATGATCTTCCCAATCGTTGGTCAAGCTCTTGTAGAATTCACCATATTCTTCTTGAGTAATGTCGTCTGGATTTCTGGTCCAAATTGGTTTTGTTTTGTTAAGCTCTTCATCCTCTGTATATTTTTCCTTGATTGTCTTCTTCTTCTTTTTCTTTTCCTCTTTTGGTTTGTCCTCATCTTCATCTTCTCCAACATCTTCAATTTTTATTTTTTCATCTTCAGCTTCTCCTTCCTTTGCTGGTTCTTCCTCCTCATCATCACTCAGTTCCTTGTTTCTTTCTTTTTCAACAACCAACTTAATTGGATAGCCAATGAACTGAGAATGCTTCTTTACAATTTCCTTTATTTTTGATTCCTCCAAATATTCAGTCTGATCTTCCTTGATGTGCAGGATGATCTTTGTACCTCTTCCAATTCGTTCTCCATTATCAGGACGAACAGTGAATGAACCACCAGCAGAGGATTCCCACACATATTGTTCATCATCATTGTGTTTCGAGATGACAACAACCTTGTCAGCAACCAGGTAAGCAGAGTAGAAACCCACACCAAACTGACCAATCATAGAGATATCTGCACCAGCTTGAAGAGCTTCCATAAATGCCTTTGTGCCTGATTTAGCAATGGTACCAAGGTTGTTAACCAGATCAGCCTTTGTCATACCAATACCACTGTAATAAACAAAATTCAATTATTTTTACTACATTGAACATTACATTAAATTTATTTAAAATAATTAGTATGGAATTTTAAAGCAGTCAAAAAAATAAAACTGATACTTACGAATCAAGGATGGTCAAAGTACGGTCATTTTTGTTTGGAATAAGTTTAATGAACAATTCTTTGCAGGTATCCAATTTTGATGGATCTGTGAGAGATTCATAACGGATTTTATCCAATGCCTATAAAAAATAAATATTCCAATGTCACTTTCGCATAAAAATTCATCCCAGTATTTGCAGGATAAATCCATCAAACAATTTTAAAGTTTAAATTGAATGTAAAAATAATTTTTACTTACATCAGATGCGTTTGAAATTAACTCTCGAATGAAGATTTCTTTGTTTGAATAAAATGTGTTGATGATCAAACTCATCAATTGAGCAATTTCGGCTTGAAAGGCGAAGGTTTCAACTTCACCCGGCTCGGAGATCGTAACGTCCTCCATCATTTTAGTTATTCTTGATGATCACGTAAAATTATAGAAATACTGATGGCACAGAACAATAAAACGGGGTTTACACTATCTTTCAGAGTACGTAGCACGAATATTCGCAGACGAAATGTAGCTTTGTCTTCGCTTGAGTTCGCTTCGAGCGATCAGTCTCTCTCGCAGTTACTTTTCAGAGTATTGAATCCTAGCGCGCAGCAGCCGCTTTTATCGAGCTTTGAAGATTCTAGAAGGCATTTACCGGAAGCCCGCCCGATTGCCAGAACATTCTATCAAGTGTGTTGTTAATAACAAACACTTATCGAATATTTTTAGAACTTCTTTATAAAAAAAGTACTTCTAAAATTAATTCTATGATTTTATAAAATAGTTGGCGCGAGAAGTTAATTGAATTAAATATATAAAGCATGGTAAAGTATGCAGCTTCTAAGTGCACTCGCGTAGTAATCGGAAATGACGACACGACTGCACATGTCTAGAAACATCGCGATATCTCGGCTCTGAGCATTGAGAAAAGGTTATATGCGGCAAACATCAAAAATTATACATTGCACATGCACATACGTGTCCATTTTAAATAAACATTTAATACTATCAAACATTATGAATGTTGGATTCTTGAAATATTCACATTATTTCTTAACATTTCATAACTGATGATCCGAGAATTATCTATATTTTTATATGAAAACGCATTGAAATACAGTTTTATTATGTACAGAAGTGTCAAAAATTAATAAAAAAAATTGCATAATATGAATAAAATATTTTATTAATAATAACTATTTTTGCAAAATAAATTTAATATGTCAGTCAACGTTTTTAAAAATATTTATTTCTGCTATTTTGTTTCCTGTGAAGTTTATCAAATACTTTTGTTCATGTTATAAAAATGTTAAATTATACTTTGAATCCTATGATCTTTCTAAAAGTTTGTCTAAAATGAATTTTTATGTTATTTTCATTGAAATTGTTATTAAGAATGGATGTATTCCCATATATTTCAAATTTTGTATTGATTCACGGATGGTTTATTCTAGAAACTCTAAAATCGGTCGATGAACGAGTTTGTTTAGGAATAAAGAAAATATTGTTATTTGTAAAAAGTTGAAGGAATTTAAATAATTATTTGTGATTTTATGATGTATTTTTTTAAAACGTTTATTTTCTTTTACATAATAGAGGAAAGTGAGCCAGACAAACGCGATCAATGATACCGTTTGCACACCCGTATTGGCAATGGTACATGTAAACTCGCGCAACAATCCGCTTTGCTCTCTATTCTTGTTCTTGTGTTTATAAAAATAATTTGAATCGACTTTTTTTTATGTGTTTTATAAAGTTTCTTACTTTTAAAAATCTGTAAAGCAACGTAAATATTACGTTGTAGTAAAGGATAAGTGTAGAAATACCAGAAAATTCTGTGCTGTGACGAACAATAATAATATAATGGAATACATGTAAAACTGTGTTGTGATTTTCTATCCTTTTAAATATTATATCTGTATTATCGATATCATGTGTAAATAATTGTATGTACATTAAATGTTGAATATAAAATACGAGAATGATTAAGTGAGTGTTCTTAACCTTGATCTTGTTAGACAGAAACGATGTAATAAAGAAACAAAAGTAGCAGCGTTGCTTTTTATTAAAAAATGCATTCCAAAAAGTAAACAGAATTAAACTAGTAAATATTGTAATATCATTATAGGTACACGCAGATTGCTAGAAAATCAAAACAAGGTTAAGTCAGTTTCGACATTTTATTTTGTAACACAACTGCACTATACTGATTACAATAAAATTTTTGACATTTGAAAACGTGTGTTATAAAATATTTTTTTCGATATACATTAAATTAATTATAAACAAATGTTCTGATGTTTGTATTCCTTTCGAGTCTATTTGAGTGTGGGTGTATAATGCGGTATATACATAATTTATGCGGTTTGTGCATGACCACCATTATTATTTGGTTATAATAATAAATCACATGTAACAAATAAAAGTTATCAATTTCAAATTGATTGTATTTTAAACCAACTAAATATTTTATATTGTAACAAAAATATTGTAGCATAATATTGTAGCATATATTCGTAATATTTTACGAATTAAATTTTTTTCTGTTAATAAAGAGTGTTTCTTTGTTCCCATTTGTCACCAATGTATTGCCATTTTGAAAATTAAACGTTTATCATAAATTATAGATTTATAAATAAAGTTTTCTTCAAGTCCCTTTTATAAACAATCAAAATAGAAGTTTCATTAAGAAAGATATGCGATATATTATTCCACGAATGTTTATTAATTTGAATTATTGAAGAGAAAAATAAAAATAAATTCAATACTTTTAAATATTCCCGCCATCTGGTAATGTAGATACCTATACTTGTTACCGACGGTACACGGTCACGTGATCGTAGAGGGCAGCTCGATGCTAGTCTCGCGCGGGAATTCGCTGTGACGTGACGCGTTAATTTTGTCTCCGTAATATTTCCGTTTTCTTTCGCGAAAAGGTGCAATATTCGTCAAATAACTGTTCTAATTGCTTAATTAACGAAAAATGTTTAATATTTAATAGTTTTTTGTGTGTGAAATGTGAGTGTATGCTGGAAATTGAAAGAAAATTGTCCCGGTTTGAATCGAGCCGTTGAGAGGTCGCTGCAGGAATGGACGCGTTCAACTGTTCAAAAGGATCAGATTGTAAAGTAAGCAATTTTCATCCATAACATAATTTTACTCACGCAATAAAAACTTTTACATAATAATGTCATATCACGTAGTAATAGTTTCATTTAGGTATATCGATCATGCAATGACACGATTTTCTCTTGCTTTATTACTCGTTTTACGTAACAATGTATATCATATTCGCCGCCGTCGTCGATAAGTATGCTTGAGGTGGTTATCAGTTGCATCATTTTCCCCCATTTTTTTACCTTTGCCATATATATATTTTTCTCGTTTCTCGATTACACAAGCTTGTAATTGTTCGCTGGCCGTACGTGCTCACTGTAAATTGTACCGGCCACAACGATCGACCTTAAATGTATAGAAATCGTGATCCTTCGTGAACGCGTAACGGCGAGCAGGCATGCGCACGCCATTGCGCCTATTTTAAAAATTCTCTACGATTTATACAAAAGCAATCTAACTTGGAGATGCATCGAAATCGCTCGTAGCGAATAGAAAGATATTATCGACAAGATTAGCATCGACGCTATTTCGATCGTTGACACATCTTTTTTACCGACAATGCATACATTCGCGCGTTTTCGGACAGTTTCGCCGACTTTACCGACACGTACATATAACACGAAACGTTCAAATACGAATCTTTTTTGAATGAAAATACATTCGGAGATTTTTACATAAAAATCTCGAATGATATTAAATTATTTCAAATGTAATAAATTTTTATAGGGATCGGGATATAGGGAGATTGGAATATGGGGGCATAGGGGACTTAGCAATTTAAGAATATCGGATGTAACACACGCATGTTTCGCTTTTATAATATACAAACGTTAATGCAATGTAATTACAAAGTTATAAACAAATAGGTGTCAATTTGAAAGTTTATAACTGTGAAGTTTGCCTGATTTATTCAATTGTCTCATCGATTATAAAAGTGATTTCGACAATTTGCGTAATTAATTTCCGTACGATTTTTCCAAATGGGTTAAAGTCGTTGTCTGTAAAATGTGTATAGATCGTCGGTGAAGCAACGTCGATGCAAGTTTTGTCCGTGATTTCGATGTACCTCGTCTACTGAACACTTGATGAGCAATTTGGTGTATATTTCTTCCCGTGAAAGCTACTTTTCTTCTTCGTGTCTGACGGAATATAAACGATCCTATAATTCCAAGTAGCAATCATAAATATACAATAAGGTTTTCGATAAACCGTCGCGGTTACGACTCGTCAGGAAGCATGAACGTATATCATCGATAAAAGATGATAAAAAGGAAGGAAAGGATTGTTTTTTTTTGTCTGTTTTCATTTTTCCTTTAATTGTACCTATCGCTGGAAAATACCGATAATATAGTTCAACTTTGCGATTTGATTTAATGAAACAATTATCGATTCGTCGAGTCGGTAGTCGAAAGGTCGATATGAATCGGTGCAAGTGCGCGTTCGCGTGGCGCCAAAAAACGGAACAATATGGCGGGCGTGTGCGCGCGCATGTCTGCGGCCGCGCGCGCGCGTAAACCTTACTTATTTGTACGTAAAATTATTTTTTCTCAATTATACTGATGCGTATCTAGACTTTTGTTCCGTAACGAACGTTATTTAGAATATTATTTCAATGAGCAAGTAACTAGGAGAGCCTCTTTCTTTATTTATCTCATTTTTCTTTTGTCCGCCATTAACGTTATCTCTCTCTTACTTTTTCCTCATCTTTTTTTTCTTTTTGCTTTCCATTTAAATCCCGTTAACGATACGAGCGCGAGGGACACGCTTACGTCCCGTGAATACGTCCTTTTCATTTTTGTTTTTTTCTTTTTATTTCGGCAGTCAGCGCGAGCTTTTTCTCCAATTCTGACGCACGTTAATACAGTAGTGTGTTCTAACTTAATAATACACGCACGCGTATCTTCATTCTTTCATTTTTTTTTCTCTAATTTAACTCTTCTACACTTCCATTCTCTCTCGCATTCGTAATCTCTTCTATATATCTCTCTATCGCTCGATTCCACTTTCTATTTGGTTTATTTACAATGTGTTCGCCTCGGTTAGCGCTCGCTGGATGCCAGTTTTCTCGTTCAGGGCAACGAGGTCGTTGTGTTTCTTTCGTTTCGTGGAAAATGGAAATTAAATGGGCTGCTGTCGATGAGGGCGGTAAATTGCGAACGGAGCACCGTTCTATGATGAAATGTCTGTTTATATTTACACACTGCAAATATTTTCAGACATGACTTTCTCAAAACAGAAATATTCTTTAATCCCATTTCGTATTAGCATAACCATGGTCAACTGTTGTGAAATAATTTCATATTATGTCGACAATTTTATTAAAATTGTTCGATATATCTTTCATCCAATCTTTTAAACGTATTTATAAATACAATTTATTAAACTACATAATCTTGCAATAAAATTGAAAAAGTGGAGGAGTTGATTGAAATTTTTAGAAACGAAAGTCAGTTAACAAAAATAAAAGCTTCGTTAAAGAATTGTGATAAAGGTTTACATTTTATTTA